CCGAAAAAAAAAAACGACAGTGGTACCCCTTACGTTTTTTTTTTTTTGGCGAAAAATTAAGTTTCTCCAATCTTCCAAAACTCTGGATTCTGATAGAGGGCCATGAGACTTAGACCTGAGTGCAAAAATGGAGGCTCTAGCCCCTTCCAGAGCTGAGATATTTCGAAACTCAAAAATTCCGCCCGAAAAAAAAACGACAGTGGTACCCTTACGTTTTTTTTTTTCGGGCGAATTAAGTTTCTCCAATCTTCCCAAACTCTGGATTCTGATAGAGGGCCATGAGACTTAGACCTGAGTGCAAAATGGAGGCTCTAGCCCCTTCCAGAGCTGAGATATCGAAACTCAAAAATTCGGCCCGAAAAAAAAACGAACAGTGGTACCCCTTACGTTTTTTTTTTCGGGCGAAAAAATTAAGTTTCTCCAATCTTCCCAAAACTCTGGATTTCTGATAAGAGGCCATGAGACTTAGACCTGAGTGCAAAAAGGGAGCTCTAGCCCCTTCCAGAGCTGAGATATCGAAAACTCAAAAATTCGGCCCGAAAAAAAAAAAACGACAGTGGTACCCCTTACGTTTTTTTTTTTTCGGGCGAAAAATTAAGTTTCTCCAATCTTCCCAAAACTCTGGATTCTGATAGAGGGCCATGAGACTTAGACCTGAGTGCAAAAATGGAGCTCTAGCCCTTCCAGAGCTGAGATATCGAAACTCAAAAAATTCGGCCCGAAAAAAAAACGACAGTGGTACCCCCTTACGTTTTTTTTTTTCGGTGAAAAATTAAGTTTCTCCAATCTTCCCAAAACTCTGGATTCTGATAGAGGCCATGAGACTTAGACCTGAGTGCAAAAATGGAGGCTCTAGCCCCTTCCAGAGCTGAGATATCGAAACTCAAAAATTCGGCCCGAAAAAAAAACGACAGTGGTACCCCTTACGTTTTTTTTTTTCGGCGAAAAATTAAGTTTCTCCAATCTTCCCAAAACTCTGGATTCTGATAGAGGGCCATGAGACTTAGACCTGAGTGCAAAAATGGAGGCTCTAGCCCTTTCCAGAGCTGAGATATCGAAACTCAAAAATTCGGCCCGAAAAAAAACGACAGTGGTACCCCTTACGTTTTTTTTTCGGGGCGAAAAATTAAGTTTCTCCAATCTTCCCAAAACTCTGGATTCTGATAGAGGGCCATGAGACTTAGACCTGAGTGCAAAAAATGGAGGCTCTAGCCCTTCCAGAGCTGAGATATCGAAACTCAAAATTCGGCCCGAAAAAAAAAAACGACAGTGGTACCCCTTACGTTTTTTTTTTTCGGGGAAAAATTTAAGTTTCTCCAATCTTCCCAAAACTCTGGATTCTGATAGAGGGCCATGAGACTTAGACCTGAGTGCAAAAATGGAGGCTCTAGCCCCTTCCAGAGCTGAGATATCGAAACTCAAAAATTCGGCCCGAAAAAAAAAACGACAGTGGTACCCCTTACGTTTTTTTTTTTTCGGGCGAAAAATTAAGTTTCTCCAATCTTCCAAAACTCTGGATTCTGATAGAGGGCCATGAGACTTAGACCTGAGTGCAAAAATGGAGGCTCTAGCCTTCCAGAGCTGAGATATCGAAACTCAAAACTTCGGCCCGAAAAAAAAAACGACAGTGGTACCCCTTACGTTTTTTTTTTTGGGCGAAAAATTAAGTTTTCTCCAATCTTCCAAAACTCTGGATTCTGATAGAGGGCATGAGACTTAGACCTGAGTGCAAAAATGGAGGCTCTAGCCCTTCCAGAGCTGAGATATCGAAACTCAAAATTTCGGCCCGAAAAAAAAACGACAGTGGTACCCCTTACGTTTTTTTTTTTTTCGGGCGAAAAATTAAGTTTCTCCAATCTTCCCAAAACTCTGGATTCTGATAGAGGGCCATGAGACTTAGACCTGAGTGCAAAAATGGAGGCTCTAGCCCCTTCCAGAGCTGAGATATCGAAACTCAAAAATTCGGCCCGAAAAAAAAAACGACAGTGGTACCCCTTACGTTTTTTTTTTTTTTTTGGCGAAAATTAAGTTTCTCCAATCTTCCCAAAACTCTGGATTCTGATAGAGGGCCATGAGACTTAGACCTGAGTGCAAAAATGGAGGCTCTAGCCCCTTCCAGAGCTGAGATATCGAAACTCAAAAATTCGGCCCGAAAAAAAAAAACGACAGTGGTACCCTTACGTTTTTTTTTTTTGGGCGAAAAATTAAGTTTCTCCAATCTTCCCCAAACTCTGGATTCTGATAGAGGGCCATGAGACTTAGACCTGAGTGCAAAAATGGAGGCTCTAGCCCCTTCCAGAGCTGAGATATCGAAACTCAAAAATTCGGCCCGAAAAAAAAACGACAGTGGTACCCCTTACGTTTTTTTTTTTTTTGGCGAAAAAATTAAGTTTCTCCAATCTTCCAAAACTCTGGATTCTGATAGAGGGCCATGAGACTTAGACCTGAGTGCAAAAATGGAGGCTCTAGCCCCTTCCAGAGCTGAGATTCGAAACTCAAAAATTCGGCCCGAAAAAAAAACGACAGTGGTACCCCTTACGTTTTTTTTTTTTGGGCGAAAAATTAAGTTTCTCCAATCTTCCCAAACTCTGGATTCTGATAGAGGGCCATGAGACTTAGACCTGAGTGCAAAAATGGAGGCTCTAGCCCCTTCCAGAGCTGAGATATCGAAACTCAAAAATTCGGCCCGAAAAAAAAACGACAGTGGTACCCCTTACGTTTTTTTTTTTTTTGGCGAAAAATTAAGTTTCTCCAATCTTCCAAAACTCTGGATTCTGATAGAGGGCCATGAGACTTAGACCTGAGTGCAAAAATGGAGGCTCTAGCCCCTTCCAGAGCTGAGATATCGAAACTCAAAAATTCGGCCCGAAAAAAAAACGACAGTGGTACCCCTTACGTTTTTTTTTTTGGGCGAAAAATTAAGTTTCTCCAATCTTCCCAAAACTCTGGATTCTGATAGAGGGCCATGAGACTTAGACCTGAGTGCAAAAATGGAGGCTCTAGCCCCTTCCAGAGCTGAATATCGAAACTCAAAAATTCGGCCCGAAAAAAAAAACGACAGTGGTACCCCCTTACGTTTTTTTTTTGGGCGAAAAATTAAGTTTCTCCAATCTTCCCAAAACTCTGGATTCTGATAGAGGGCCATGAGACTTAGACCTGAGTGCAAAAATGGAGGCTCTAGCCCCTTCCAGAGCTGAGATATCGAAACTCAAAAATTCGGCCCGAAAAAAAAAACGACAGTGGTACCCCTTACGTTTTTTTTTTTTGGCGAAAAATTAAGTTTCTCCAATCTTCCCAAACTCTGGATTCTGATAGAGGGCCATGAGACTTAGACCTGAGTGCAAAAATGGAGGCTCTAGCCCCTTCCAGAGCTGAGATATCGAAACTCAAAAATTCGCCCGAAAAAAAAACGACAGTGGTACCCCTTACGTTTTTTTTTTTGGGCGAAAAATTAAGTTTCTCCAATCTTCCCAAAACTCTGGATTCTGATAGAGGGCCATGAGACTTAGACCTGAGTGCAAAAATGGAGGCTCTAGCCCCTTCCAGAGCTGAGATATCGAAACTCAAAAATTCGGCCCGAAAAAAAAAACGACAGTGGTACCCCTTACGTTTTTTTTTTGGGCGAAAAATTAAGTTTCTCCAATCTTCCCAAAACTCTGGATTCTGATAGAGGGCCATGAGACTTAGACCTGAGTGCAAAAATGGAGGCTCTAGCCCCTTCCAGAGCTGAGATATCGAAACTCAAAAATTCGGCCCGAAAAAAAAACGACAGTGGTACCCCTTACGTTTTTTTTTTTTGGGCAAAAAATTAAGTTTCTCCAATCTTCCAAAACTCTGGATTCTGATAGGGGGCCATGAGACTTAGACCTGAGTGCAAAAATGGAGGCTCTAGCCCCTTCCAGAGCTGAGATATCGAAACTCAAAAATTCGGCCCGAAAAAAAAACGACAGTGGTACCCCTTACGTTTTTTTTTTTCGGGAAAAATTAAGTTTCTCAATCTTCCCAAAACTCTGGATTCTGA